GCCTTAATGACCCGAAAGGACAGGCGGTAATCGAAACTGACGGTCTGATTTACTAAACTGGAAATTTGAATACTTTCAACTTTAAAAAATTGTACCTTGTACGCTCCGTCATACTGAGCTACCTCTTCGCCTATCAGAGATACGCGGTCATCACGTTTCATCTCTTCTTCAATGGCAGCATTCAGCGCCTCCCTGACGTGCAGCTTGGAGACGCATAACGCCGGACTGGTCGAAAATAATTTTGCAGAATTTCGAAAAACCACGCCACAAAGAAACAAGCCTGCCGACCTGAGCGCCATTCCTGCCTACAGAGCGACAACCGCGGGATATCAGTGAACAACGCAAACCAGCACTAAAAATACGAATTTTTCAAACAACATGTTAAATACCTGTGACTCCACGACCGACCCTACAGTATTAGATGGAGCTCTGAGAAGCAGAAGTATCTACAACCTAGAATGAATTCAAGCGTTAGGGACAAATCCTTACCAAATCCTCAAAAGCCTCCTCCATTATATACAGATAGCGAACGGAACAACGTTCCAAAAAACGGTAGAAAACAATAGGAAAACCTCCAGATCGATGCCAGGATAAACTGAAGAATTTCGCTTGGTAAAGACGGATGAAAAAGACAAGCCTAATAAGTCGATGGCAAAAAAGCCTTGGGCAGGTCTTGACTAGCAGCGGATCGACAAAGGACGATGTAATGAGAGCATTAAAGAGAGCGATAAACCAATTTCCGTTTTAACATAATACATGTGAAGCAGCGAACTAGATAACACTCAGTGAGACAACTCCCACTTAGAAACAAATGTTAAAACTGACTGCATAAAATAAAACGTTACCGAACTCGTTACCCCTCGGAGTCATTTGTCTAAAATGTCGCCAGTGAAGGAAAACGAATTCGGCCCTGAGTTACAATCCTAAAGTTGCCAAACACTTTTATGTTTGATCATCAACAATGTACATAGCCAATTACGTAAGTTTTGTAGTTATATCTTGAATCTCAGAATATCTTGAAAAGTACTGCACGATATTTACATTCACCACTTATTGCTCGGTAAATCTCGGCAAAGAAGAGCTAATTAATTCCATAATTGTAAAGAGGGAGCAAATGCAAAGATTTTCCGACAATCTTGAAAACGAATAATCCTGCAGTTATCTGAATAATTCATTCAATCACTTTCACAGAATGTTACTCACTCCCTTTGGAATCATAGACAATACCACAGGAATCCTTTTGGTTCTCCAAAATCGGACATTGAATGAATTCCAAATCAAGAAGATGTCAAATACGAAAGATAATCGAGCGATCTTCTTCTCGGTTTGCCTCGTGGGCAAATTCTTTCTGACCAAGAGAATTTGTCTTGCCAGCCTCTGTGATGGATAGTTTATCACAATTACCTAAAAAATCTGCGATTCTGAGAAAGAAACGGCTCAAAACCAAGACTACCTCAAACATGAAATTCCGGATTTTGTCCAACCTCTACATTAAGCCAGTCGTTCTTCGTAGAAGCTCATTTCTGCCGCGGCGTGAAATTGCATCCAGATGAAACTTTTTCGATCCATATCCATAATAGCAGAGGACAGAATTTTAGTCTTAAGTCCGAGGGCGAGCTTCGCACTACAATCTTCATTACCACAGAAGGGTTTAAATCGTACATAACAAAATTCACGTGGCCGAACCATGAGTCAATTGTGAGAAATTCTGCTCAGTATCCCGAGTGAACACTATCTCAAAATACGTAAGCTTCTCCATCCGCTTCAGCTGCACTCGATTTACTTGCAGGGCGCACTGAACTGCTTTCTCAAGATAAG